TCTCCCGCTTAACACGCACCCCCATGGCTTCTGTACACACAGCGTAACAGCCAGAGGCCTGTGTGTGGCTTAGAAGGCACTCTCCACCAGGCCCCGTCTGACTTCCCAGCCCTCCCCTCCCTCACTGTCCCCAGCCACGCAGCCTCCTTGCTGACCCCAAAGGAGCCAAGCAGCTTCTACCTCAAAGCCTTTGCATTAGCTTTTCCTTCTGGGAGGCTCTTCCCCCAGATACGTGCATGGCTCACTTCCCTCGGCTCAAAATCTCACCTCCTCGGAGAGGCTGTCCCTGGCCACGTCCACTGGGTCTTCCCTAGCCCCTTCCCCTGCTTTATTTCCCTTCACTGTGCTTATCACAGCCTGACACTACAAGGTATGTGTGATTATCGATTATATCCGTCTCCCCTACTCAGATGTTGAGCTCCACGAGGGCAGGAGGCTTTTCTGTGTGTCCACGGTGGGGTGGGGTGGGGGGGAATTGGGGGCTGGTCGTCACAATGACAGAGGTCGGGGGGTGCTGCTGGCATTTGGGGGGTGCGGGCCAAGGCTCCAGACAACCCCAGAAGGAGGACAGATTCTACATCCTGCTCGACATGAGTGAAAAACGTGTTTATAATTACCAGAGCCAAGACTCTAACTCCATTTTATACATAAACACAGAGGACTTGTGTATACACTTGTGTATACACATAACATACACTGAATTTTCTGGGAAGGCAACTACTGTGTAAAGTGAAGGAAATTTGTACTTTGTTTTGTTCAGAACTTTACCAAGAGTTCACAGTTTCAGACGCTGACATAATATATCCCAGCATCGGTCTGCACTCGTAGCTGTCACCTTCCTGACAATTAATGACTTCACAAATACACAGCATTGCCCTGTATTTCTTTTATATTACAGGACAAAAAGATATGTACATTTAAAAATATTATCTATATTAATTCAATTATATAATTATTCGATTTAATTATATATTAATTTTAATTAGAGGTGGGTCTATTAGCCATAAATTTCATTTCAGGAGCATACAAGAAGCAATTAGAAAATATCATGAAGGGAATTCCCTGGCGGTCCAGTGGTTAGGACTCCACGCTTCCACTCCCGGGGGGCACAGGTTCAATCCCTGGTCAGGGAACTAAGATACTGCATGCCTCACGGCGCAGCCAAAAATAAAAAAGGAAAGAAAGAAAATACCGTGAAAAGGCAGCTTTGGGTCTGACAGGATGGAGAACCATGGCCTAGAGCTGCCCAGTGGAAGACTGTTAGGGAACATGGCTCTGAAGTTCAAATCCAGGCCCTCCCATTTACATCCACGTGACTGCACACAGGCTGCTTGACCTCTCTGAGCCTCAGTCTCCTCTGTAAAACGGGAGTCATGCTACAAACTACACAGGATTAGTGGGAGGATCTGAAGTGTTGAGACGAGCACGGCGTTTAGCAAAGTGCCAGGTACCTAGAGGATACTCAGTACCCATAACCGTTATTTACTCGTTTCGCAGACTTTCACAGTGCCTCTTCCCAGCAGCTGTCCCGGGTGCTAAGGGGGCATTCAGAGGACTTCGCAGGTCTTAGGAGACCTTGAGTCCCCTTCCTCCTCCACCCAAGATCTAGGCAGCCCCTGACCTCCAGGTGGGGTGAGGCCCCAGTGTCAGGAGCAGAGCAGCCAGGGCCAGCCCCAACCTGGGCCACTGGGGAAGGGGGCAGAGTGAGGCTTTGCCTTGAGCCCTGAATGTGCCAGGCCTCCCGAGGGCCCTCCCAGAGGCTCTGGATCTCTCAGCCTTCTGACCACCCATTAATACCTGTCTTTCCTGTATGTCATCTTAGGAACACTCTGCACCTCCCAAGGTGACAAATCTTTAGTCACACAGGCAGACAGGAAGACAGAAAGGCAACCAACAAATGGGCAGGTGGGCAGGCAGCAGGTCAGCCACAGGCCAACAGACAAGGAGGAAATCAGCAGGTGGACAGGTGGGACGCAAGCCAGGCAGGCAGGTGACATATATGCAGAGAGATCCCAGCCAGCATGACCAGAAAGCAGGTGGCTCGGCAGACCTACAGACAGGCTGGTGGGCAGGCAGAGGCAGACAGAAAAGCAGATAGGCAGGTGGCCAGGAGGGCATGGGGATGGGGAGGGTGAAGGGGGATGGCCCACATGGACCAAAGGCTTCAGGCCCTCTCCCAGGGCCTCGAGGAGCAGCCCCCAGCGTCTTTGAACCCTCCAGGGCAAGGCTGCCACTTCTCCCACCTGGCCTGGCTTGGCCACATGCATCCCCCTGGAGAAGGCAGCCCTCTGGGTAGCTCTCTCTGAGGGACCAGCAACCATCTCAAGCCCCACCCTGCTCCAACACAGCCATCTGCTTCACCAGGGTTGAGTCACACCTGACCCACTCCAAACACACGAGTCACACGCCAACCCAAACACAGGCACACCCTTGTCCATAGGTAGCGATACCCAGAGGTCTGCATAGCACAGATGCGAGGAAACAGCTTAACACAAACACATCCAATATCTTAGAGCCCCTACTCAGAGAGGCATGCACGTGGACCCACACGGAGACACAGGTACGTGCCATACAAACCGACGCACAGCAGCCTCACACTCAGGGTCAGTTATACACGCACGGCCGCAGCACACACTGATATCCATGTGGACGGGCAGGCATCCAACATGTCAGCGCAACCCATGGAAACCCACAGCCAGTGGTCAGATTCCAGCCTCAGATTCCCCTTGCAGTCTTGGCCAGGTCTTCCTCTCACCTCCCCGGTCTCTCCCAGCTGACGCCTCCTGCAGGAGACCTGCAGTACAGCATCCAGAACTCTCTTCTCTCCTGTCCCCTGGGTGACCTCAGCCACTCCCAGGTGTTCAATCCACCTTGTGTTGAGGACTGGCAAACACACTCCCAAGGCCAGACTCCTCCGGACTGCGCCTGCGTGTCTGACGGCTCCACCCAGATACTTATGGACCTCTCAAGTCTAACCACCTGAAGTGAAACTTGGATCCCTAAATCCTGCTCCCCACCTGAGCTTTCCTCAGGTGCTCAGGCCCAATACCAAGCAGCTGTCCTACATTCCTGCTTCCCTCACATCCTCATGCAATCCAGGGAGTCCTGCTGCCACTCCCTTCAGAATCTCAGCCTGGCTCACCTCCTCCACTGGCCATCCTGGTCCAAGCCCTCCGCCACTGCTGGCCTGGATGGCTGCCAGCCTGCTCACTGTTCTCCCCGCTTCCATTCTTCCCCTGCGGCCCCATCCTACCCTGAGCCCCCAGGGGGACCTCTCCGAAGTGCATCACAGAACCATGACGCTGTCCTGATGGAAACTCTCCAGGGGCCCCAAGCACACTTGCGATAACATCCAAGCTCCTCCGCAGGCCCACCGGCCCCTTCACAATCACCCCATCACCCGTCCCCGCGCCTCGCTGCCCCTGGGAGAGGTGCCCCCAGACGCTCCTACCTCAGGGCCCTCGGCCTCCTTCCTGCCCTGACGCTCTCCTCCGGATCCTGGCACAGCTGCCCGCTCTTCTGGATTCAAGCCTCTGCCCCGTGTCACCTGTGAGAGCTGCCCCAGGTGTTCCTCATCACCCTTCCCCACTCCATCACCCTCTGAGCACTTAGGAGCACCCAAGACCATCTTCTTCCCGTACTGTCTCTCCGCCTTAGCGTCAGTTCCAAGAGGGCAAACATTTGTGTCTGTTCTGTTTACTGCTGAGCCCCATTAGTGGGAAGTGCTAAGCAGGCCAGTTAGCATTTGTTGACTAGTGGCTGAACGGATTTACACACAGACATACCCGCCCCACAAAAATGCTCAAGCAGATACAACACGAAGATAGACACACAAATATACGAATATGGGCAGAAACACCTCCACACATGCTCACAAAACAGACTAAACAGTCCCAGAGACATCAAGAGTCCCTTCCCCTCCCCGTGGGAGTCATCCTAGTCGCTTCCCTAACCAGATCTGCCCTCTGCTTGAACCCAGTCTCAGGACTGGGAGTGGGGGGTCTCCAGCCTGGACAGAGAAGGGGGTCACTGGCCCACAGGCCTCAGGCTGTGCCTTCAGCTATGTCTGCAATTTCCTCTCCCCCTTCCTTCCCTCCTCCTCTCTAAGGCTCCTGCCAAGAAGGCCTCCCCCTCACCCCATCCCAGCACAGGAAGGGGGGCCCAAAAGCAGGGGCCTGGGAGTCTGGGCAGGAAGAAGACCCGGCTGCATGCTGATCACACACACACTGCAGGCACAAGCCCTGAGGCTGCGTGGAAATGCGTGCACGTGCACCAGCAGGTTTAGCCCAGAACCAAACACACCTCTGCCCCGGTGCAGAAGAGCACAGGGGCCAGCGGAGGCCCCGGGCTCAGTTCTGCAAGGCTGGCCTGGGCCTGGCTTGAAGCCAGAGTCCAACATTCATTAACCCTGCGTGACCAGAGCTGGGCCAGCTGGCCACACTCACTGCCTGGGCCCTGGGAGGAGGGGATGAGAGCCCCGGCCCTGGATTGTGGCTGAGGGTCTGGGGGAGGGTTGGTATCTGAGCTAGGGAAAGGGGCAGTCTTCCCTGGGTGAGGGGGGCCTCCTGGGAGGAAGAGCAAGGTTTAGGGAAGGGGTTAAGAGCCCATGGTCAGAGAACAGTGGATTCAAATCCTGACCGTCTGGGTTAAGTTATTCAATCCCTCTGTGACTCAGTTGACTCATCTGTCAAGTGGGGATAATGGTCCCCACGTTATAGGGTTGTTAGGATTAAATGAAAAAATATTGTAAAGGATTTAACACTGCCTGGCACCTAGGGAGAACTCCATCCTCATTATTATTGTTGTTATTAGCAGCCTGGGGGCGGGTTCCTGCAACCGGCCTCCCCAGCGGTTTCCTGTCGGGGAGCAGACGGCCCCTCAGGCCTCGGCCCCACCCCACCCCTCCTCCCTGCAGCCCTCCTCTCCCCTTCCTCTCCCGGCCCTTTTCCTCCCCGCCTCCCCCGCCCCGCCCCGCCCAGTCCCTCCTCTTTCCTCGGAGGAAACTTTCCGCCGGCTGGTCCATCGGCCCTTGTCCGGCCCGCGCTGCCGCGGCCTGGGATCCGAGCCGGGCGGGCAGGTGACCGGGACCGGACGGGGCGGGAGCGGCCGGGCCCCGGGTGTCTGCGGCCGCCGGACGCGCCGGGGCCGGGCAGCGGGGAAGCGGGGCGCTGACGGTGAGTGAGCCCGGGCCTCCGGGCCCGGGGGTCCCCGCCGGGCGGGCGGGATGGGAGCGGGAGGCGGCTTCCCTTCCCGGAGCCCGCCCAGGGAGTAAGGAAGGCGCCCGCGTCTCTCTCCTCCATCCCGATTCCCGGACGGCGAAAGCGGGCCTCGTTTGGGGAACCCACCAGGGGACGGAGCCTCCTGCGGCTCACTCCCCCGACCCTCAGGTGTTGGGGCGTCTGCGCCCAGGGGAAGGGTCCCCTAGCCAGGGCCCAGGTCGGCAACGAAGTTAGGAAGCCGCTCTCTCCAGGGTGGAGCCTGGCTGGGGCTGCCCTTTCAGGGAGCAGAGCTGCCCCGAGGAGAAAGCGGGGTCAGGGTCGGCTCCAGAGGGGGAGAAGGGTCTGACCTTGCTGACCTCGCAGGCTGACAGGGGAGCTGCCCCCCCAGAGAAGCATGGATGCCCCCCGAAGGGACATGGAGTTGCTCAGCAACAGCCTGGCGGCCTACGCACACATCCGCGGTGAGGGCAGACCCCGGGACCTGGACCCCTCCCTGCCTCCTCAGGCCCCACTCCACCCCTTCCCTCCCCTCCTCCACGCCCCTGCCACTGTAACCACCCTTAGCCAGTCACTTACTCCCAAACCGCCCCCCACTCCCCCGACTTCACGATGGCGGCTACCTAAGGTCCCTCAAATAGAGGGTACTGTCCTTGCCCCCCAAACTTAGAACCTGGAGTCTTTTGGAGATGGGATGACTCCCACGCGCCAGGCCCCCTCCGTGACTTCTGCCCTCTGACCCCCAGCTAACCCCGAGAGCTTCGGCCTCTACTTCGTGCTGGGTGTCTGCTTTGGCCTGCTGCTCACCCTGTGCCTGCTAGTCATCAGCATCTCCTGCGCACCCCGCCCGCGGCCCCGAGGCCCCACTCCGCGCCGGGACCCCCGCAGCAGCACCCTGGAGGCCGAGGACGACGACGACGATGACGATGAGGATACGGTGACTCGGCCGGGCCCCGAGGTGTCCGCGGAGCCCGACGGGCCCCTGAGCGTCAACGTCTTCACTTCGGCCGAGGAGCTGGAGCGGGCGCAGCGGCTAGAGGAGCGGGAACGGATCCTGCGGGAGATCTGGCGCACTGGACAGCCAGACCTCCTGGGCACCGGCACGCTGGGGCCCAGCCCCACGGGCACGGGCACCCTGGGCCGCATGCACTATTACTGACCGGCCCCCAGAGCGTACTGGATATGCACAGGGGCTTCGAGCTGCCCCAGGACCTTTGGACTGCCCCTGCCCACGGTGCTATGGAGGCCCCGCCCCCACGGCTCCCCTGGTGCTGTTGGGCCTGGATTCCCGTCCCCTGGGAGACACCCTTCCCCCGTCCAGCCAGAAGGCCCTGGGGGTAGGGCAGGACACAGGGTCCCCATCCCCTCTCTGGGGGACGGTTAAGAGGTGACGTGACCAATGAAAGCTGCATTCTCAGTGACTCAGTCTCCCTCTGTTATCCTTCCCCCTAATGACTCCCAAGATCTTGCCATGCAGGGGGCCCCAGGGCTGAGACCCCTTTACCAGGCTGACCACCTCCTTCCACCCACCCGACGCCTCAGCACACATGCTTGCGTTCAATTCACACATGGCAAAAACACACTCCTGCACCCACACTCCACCGCCTCACCGCAGACGCACACACAAAAATCAACCGCATTCCTTACAAATGCATTCCTTACCGGCAAACGCCCGGGTACACGTTGCCCCTGTCCCTACAAATGCCCTAGGTTTATGCATCATTGCAATCACACACACACACGCGCGCGCGCGCGCACGCACACAAGGCCTCGGAACCCTAACCTTGACGCTAAGGCGCTATTAGCCCCAATGTAACCTGGGGTGCCTGAGCTGGCCTGTGGAGTTCGTGTGTCACTGCGTTCCAGAGCGGACAGTGAAGGCAACTGGGAGGGTTCCGGGCTGGAGAGCCGGCCCGCCGGCCCCTCCCCTGGCGCACAGCTGGATTCTGGAATCCGGCCCCCGGGCAGAGGCCCGACCCCTCCTGGGCCCCTCCTGCCGGCCATTTCTCCAGCGCGGGGACTAGCGTCCGAAGGAGACACCCTCCCCCCTCGCCATCCGGTGGATAAAAATAGCCATGCGCAGGCCTTGGGAACGGTAATGGAAGCCACATGTTGGCCAGATGTGCCCAGGAGCGGCTGCCAGGAAAGCGGAGGGACCGGAGCGCGGAACGCCAGCCCCGCCCCGCCGCGCAGACCCCGCCCTGCAGGGACCAGGGAGGCGTGGCGCGCGTACACGGCAGAGTTTACTTTCTTGCGTTTCCCAAAATCGTGTGCAAGGACGTGGGTGGCCGGAGCCCGACTTCGCTCCAGGTCCCGCCGTAGTCCCTCCCGGGCCCACCCTCAGTGCGTCTGCGTCTGCGCCTGCGCGTGGATGGAGCCCAGGTTCCGGGACTCCTGGGTCCTCCGTGTCATCTGAACCTAGTGGAGAGAGGGCGTCTGGGGAGTGCCAGCCGCCCACCCCCCACCCCACCCCCGCCCCGCAGGGGACCCGCACCCCGCCCACCTCCAGCAACACGCGCTTCTCTCTCGCGCTCTTCAGCTCCTCCCAGATGTCAGTCAGCTTCTTTCTGCGGACGCGAGACCGAGGGGAAGGGGTGGGCCGGGCAGGCCTAGGGCCCGCACCCCTCTCCTCCCCTCCCCGCACCCATCCCCACTTACTCCAGCTGCACCCCCATCAGCTCCAGCGACCTCCTTAAAGCCTCCACCTCGTCCTTTATCCTCATGTCGTCTCTGTCACTTTTGCTATCTGTGAGATTTTGCGGGGCCGAGGGGTGGAGGGTGGGAGTCATTTGGGGCTCTGGAGTCAGCACGATAGGATGTGGATTCTTCTGAGCAGGGGATACCTCTTCGGGGGACACCTCCTCTTTGGGGGTAGCCTCATCCTTCGCTGGTGCCTCCTCCAGGAGAGTGGTAGCCTCTTCCTGGAGGTAGGCCTTCTCAAGGGCAGGCATAGACCCTGACTTGGACTTGGACTCGGACTGGAGAGGGGAGCTGTCCGTCTTATCCGGGGGACGTTTCACCGTGCAGAGGGGATGCTCCTCTGGCATGTGAACCTCCTCTTGGGATTGAGCCTCACTGGCCCCAAGAGACCTGGCGTTTAGCAGGGCTTCCTCCGGAGAGAAGTGACGGAACTGAGTGTTGTCTCGGGTGGAGGTCTCTTCAGAGAGCACCTGTTTGGTGGTCAAGACCTTTCCTAGGGTGTGGGCCTCGTCCCCAGGAGGGGCCATCTCTGGACCAGGTGGGACTTCTGGGACCGGGACCTCATGCACAGAAAAGACCCTGTCTGGTCTGGGGGCTTTGTCCTCCAGAGTTGGGGTCTCCTCTAGGATAGGGACCTTATCTGAAGTTAGGGATTCCTCTGGAGTGGGGGCCTTATCTGGAGACAAGGTCTTCTCCGGGCTGCGGGCATTGTCCAGAGATGAGGTCTTCTCTGGGCTGCCAGCCTTATCCGGAGATGGGGTCTTCTCTAGGCTGGGGGTCTTGTCCAGAGTTGGAGTTTTATTCACACAAGGGGCCTTTGTAAGGCTGCTCTGCTCTTCGCCCTGTGGGGATGGGGGTGAGGTCTCAGCCGAGGGCTGGGTACCTTGACAGTTTGAGTCTGGTTCCCCTTGGCCTGGGATCCTTCACACCACACCCCTGAGAACCGGACTCTGCCCAAGATTCCCACTGTCCCACCACGTCTTAGGCCTCTCACCTGACCAGCTGCAGTGTTGCTGTGAAGCCTGGGTTTGGGCTCGCTTTCTGCCACTCTGGCCTGGACACCCACTGAGGAGACTGCTGCTGGAGCCTGTGAGAGCAGACCCTCAGGAGCCCGGGCCTACTTGGACCCCAAGCCTCTCCCCATCTCTGTCCCTCAGCACAACACCCCAGGCCTCACCCCACTCACTGCAGTTTCGGGAAGGGCGCTTCTGACTGTCTCCGCTGGGTGTCCAAGATGGCCTGAAACATTTCTCCATCAGAACCGGGGATGGGGGCAGGGAGCAGCATTTCTTCTGTACCCTCCTCTTTCCCCCTCCGCCACCCTGCTCCTTACTTGGCTTTGCTTGGCCCAGTCGGGGCTGTCACCAGCTTCTTGACCGTAGGGAGGGCTGTTCTGGGCATCATCTTTTTGGGTTCCTTAATAGGAGCTGGGAGGGGAGAGGGGAGTGGGGCATTTGTTCACTCATCCATTCATCTAAGAGTCGCTGTGCTGTGCGCAGGGGACTAGTGACAGGAGATGAATTACATTTGACCCTGCCTCCCGGGAGCTCTGGGGACATTGACCATGGGAGCACCCCAAAGAGGCGTCAGGGAAGGCTTCGTGGGGAGATGGCTCCAAATCCTGCCAGTTTTTATCCATGCTTTTCAAAGACTTGTACTCGGCTTAGTGCCCATGGCTGGTTCAGACTCTTCTCCTTCCTGGACCAAGGCAACATCCTTCCCCCTTCCAGTCCACACTCCCTTCTCTGTCTTCTCTATCACATCTACTCCCTAAGAGATCTCACCCAGTCTTACGGGTTTTATTATCATCAATAAGCCAACCACTCCTAAATTTTCATCTCTAGCCCCTTCCTCTTCTCTGAACTCCAGACTCATACCCGACAGCCCTCTCAATATTTCCACTTAACTTAGCATCACACACTTACCATAGCCAGAACTAAACTCTTGCTTCCCAACCTCCTTGCCCTCAGAATCTGCCCCTCTCCCACTGCTCCCCATCTCGCCCACTCACTCAGACGACAAAGTGAGGAGTCCTCCCTGACGCCTTTATTTCCGTATGCTGCACATGCAAACCATCAGTAAGTCCTGTCTGCTCTAAACACATCCTGAATCCAGCCACTCATCCCCACCTCCACCACTAAGCACTCTAGATTGAGTCACACCGTCTTCACTAGGACTGTCGCAGCAGCCTCCAACCTGGGCTTGGGCTGCACCCACCCTGCTTATGGTGTGCTCTCCCCAAAGCAGCCAGAATGAGCTCATGTTCTACTGGGGAAGCAGACATAAACAAAAGGAGTAAACGATGTAGTGTGTTAGGGATTTATTAGTAGTACAGAGGACGAATAAGCAGGGGAATGTATGATTTTAAATGAGATGGTCCTGAGAAGGCGACATCAGAGTGAGCATCTGAAGGCAGTCACACAAGTGACATTCATATCCACGGACACAGGAACAGCTACTCTGGCACAGGCACACATGCTGAAATTGACTTGCACACACAACATCACACACAGATATAAACAAAATCCCCTGACTGTGGGTCGCAGTGGGCGAGAGCATGGATCCTATAGCCAGACAGCAGACTTGGAATTCCTGCTCTATTACTCACCAGTTGTGTGAGAACTTGGTTGGTAATTTAACCTTTCTGTGCCCTCATGGCCTCATCCATAAAACATGGATAACAAGAATACACATCCTATAGGGTTGTTGTGAGGTTTGAGTGACTTAATCCACGTGAGGTGCTTAGCGTCTGCCATATAGTCAAAGCTCAGTAAATGTTAACTTTGACTCCTGCTTCTTGTAGTGTGGCTGATCAGGTGCTCTGTGGGGGCCTCCCACTAGAGAGCAATTATATCCTGCTTAGAATACAGTTTTAAGTTACTGTTGGACATAAAAGAGGTAGGAGAAGCCCACAAAAAGGGAGGAAGGAACTGGGGCCAGAAAGGAAGTGAGAGGGCAGCACGACTTTGTGGCTACAGAGCCTGGGGCCAGTGATGAGGAGCAGGTGCCCCATGTTCTGCTCCTTTGGCTCATCACAGGCCCAGAGCTCGGTAGCCAGACAGCAGCGAGAGCCTTGCACCACCTTCTTCCAGACGGCGGAAGTGGTCTCCAGTGGTTGCTGCCCTCTGGCTACTAGCAGAAGTAAAAGCGAGTCCTCGCTGGAAGAAGTTTTCCCCTACAGAGGTGTACAGAACTCCCCCACACTGAGATCATACACAAAGATCCTAAAACACGCGAGAGGGCAGGCCACTGAGAGCAGGAGTCAGCAGACACAACACACAGCAGATACTGGAAGTGTCAGGAAAAGAACACAGCATAGCTACATACAGTATATTTGAAGAAATAAAGGATGAGCATGCAACAAAAGGACCATTAGGAATAAACAGGAAGATTTTGCAGGGAAAATAAAAAAAAAAAGAATTCTGTACTACTAGAGATGATAATAGCATATATGAAATAAAATGCAATGTGTAGGTTAGACAGCAGATTAAACCCAGATAAAAATCTAGAGAGAGAATTAGTTAAACTAGAAGTAGAATGAGACAAGGAGTGAAAATTTGAAAGCCATGTTCAAAGGAAGAGGTAATAGAAGCAGGGTTTGACTATGGCCGAGCGAGGTAGGTGGTGGTTAAATACCCTCTCCACACAGCAACTATAAAGCTGGATAAAAATGGCAAAACAACCAGTTCAGTGCTTGGATACTGACCAAAGACATAAAATAATTGGAGAAGCACTTGTGCTTGACAGTGTTCTTGCCTGCTCCCATCCCTCCCCCACCCCCTACTGCCTTGGTCCATGTGGATGTTCTGCAGGGTGGGATAGGTGGAGGATGAACAGCTTTACTGCCATGGTTGAAGAGAACTCAATCAATATGGGGTGCAACCTTGGATTTGGCACTGGTTTCATTGATATGACACCAAAAGCACAAGCAACCAAAGAAAAAATAGGTCAGTGGGACTTCATCAAAATTTTAAACTTTTGCGCACAAAGGACACCATCAAGAAGGTGAAAAGACAACCCAAAGAACGGGGAAAAATATTAGCAAATCATACATATGATAAGGGCCTTTTATCTAGAAAATATAAAGAACTCCAACAACTCAACAGTAAAAAGTCAACCCAATTAAAAAATAGGCAAAGGATTCAGATTTTTTCAACATCATTAGCTATCAAAGAAATGCAAAGCAAAACCACAATGAGATAGCATTTCATACCCACCAGGATGGTTACAATCAAAAGACAGATAACAACAAGTACTGGTGTGAATGCGGAGAAACTGGAGCCCTCGTACACTGTTGGTGGGAATATAAAATGGTGCAACCACTTTGGAAAACAGTCTGCCAGTCCTTCCCAAAGTTAAACCAGAGTTATCATATCACCTAGCAATTCCTTTCATAGGTATATACCCAAGAGAAATGGAAACACGTCCACATAAAACCTTGTACACTAATAAAGTTCATAGCCAAAAAGTAGAAACAATCCAAATATCCATCAACAAATGAATGGAAAAAGTGATACAATAGAATATTACTGGGCAATAAAAAGGAATGAAGTACAACACATACTACAAAATGGATAAACCCTGAAAACATTATTTGACGTGAAAGAAGCCCATTAAGAAGACCATATATTGTATGATATCATGTATATGAAATGTAGGCAGATCTATCAAGACAAAGTAGATTAGTGGTTGTCTTGGGATGAGGAGGGGAGAATGGGGAGGCTGGTGGGGTAATGGCTAAAGGGTACAGTGGGTGACGAAAACATGCTAAAATTGATTGTGGTGGTGTTGCACAACTATGACTCTACTAAACACCACCGAACTGTACATTTAAATGAGTGAATTGTATGGTATGTCAAGATATCTCAATAAAGCTGTTAACCCCCATTCCCCAAAAAAGGTGGCAGGCCAGATTTGGCCCACAGACCATAATTTGCTAACTCTTAACCTAAACACCCCAATAAAAGGCAGAGATTGTCAAACTGAATTTAAAAAGCAAGATCCAGCTATATACTGTGGACAACAGATTCAAAGACACAAATAGGTTGACAGTAAAAGATTGGAGAAAGATATATCACATAAATAGTAACTATAATAATAACCATATATTAATATCAGACAAAAAAAATTTCAAGAGGAGAAAAATTACTGAAGACAAAGAGGGAGAGTTTATAATGATAAACAGGTAAGTACATCAGGAAGAGATAACAATGACAAATATACATGTGCCTAACAACAAAGCCTCAAAATATATAAAGCAAACACTGACAGAACTGAAAGGAGAAATAATTCAAAAATAATAGTTGGAGATTTTGTTCAGGAGAAAGGTTAAGACTTTGAATTTAGACTTGTTAAGTTAAATATACATGGTAAATTTCAAGAGCAACCACTAAAATAATAACAATAAAGTGTACTAATTCTAAATTAATGAAAAAAGTGAAATAAGAAAAAAAGGAGAAAATAAACATTTAAAAATATTGTAAAATAATTATGATTAATATAGTCTAAACTCATCAACTTATCACCAAAGAAAAAGACTGACAAACTAGAGTAAAAAAACAAAGGTGAGAGGGCAGACAGCAGAAGCAAGAAGAACTACAATCCCGCAGCCTGTGGAACAAAAACCACATTCACAGAAAGACAGACAAGATGAAAAGGCAGAGGGCTATGTACCAGATGAAGGAACAAGATAAAACCCCAGAAAAACAACTAAATGAAGTGGAGATAGGCAACCTTCCAGAAAAAGAATTCGGAATAATGATAGTGAAGATGATCCAGGACCTCGGAAAAAGAATGGAGGCAAAGATCGAGAAGATGCAAGAAACGTTTAACAAAGACCTAGAAGAATTAAAGAACAAACAAACAGAGATGAACAATACAATAACTGACATGAAAACCACACTAGAAGGAATCAACAGCAGAATAACTGAGGCAGAAGAACGGATAAGTGACCTGGAAGAAAGAATGGTGGGATTCACTGCTGTGGAACAGAATAAAGAAAAAAGAATGAAAAGAAATGAAGACAGCCTAAGAGACCTCTGGGACAACATTAAATGCAACAACATTCACATTATAGGGGTCCCAGAAGGAGAAGAGACAGAGAAAGGACCCAAGAAAATATTTGAAGAGATTACAGTTGAAAACTTCCCTAACGTGGGAAAGGAAATAGCCACCCAAGTCCAGGAAGCACAGCGAGTCCCATACAGGAGAAATCCAAGGAGAAACACGCCAAGACACATAGTAATCAAATTGGCAAAAATTAAAGACAAAGAAAAATTATTGAAAGCAGCAGGGGAAAAATGACAAATAACATACATATGGGAACTCCCATAAGGTTAACAGCTGATTTCTCAGCAGAAACTCTACAAGCCAGAAGGGAGTGGCATGATATACTTAAAGTGATGAAAGGGAAGAACTTAGAACCAAG